GTACCTTGAGAACACCTATATCTATTGCACTGTTCTCATGGGAACAGTATTTGGATCTGAAATTTCGAACACTGACTATCAGACTTATTTTTTTTAGATTATAAAAATAAAAGCCGGGTTGCCAGGTTCAGGGTTGGCAAATTTGTCTATTGCTATCAATGGAGCTCCAGTACATTGATCCAAAAAATTAACTCCATAATTTTCAATAGACCAATTGACAATAGGCTATATCCAGAAAATAAGAATCCCCCTGGCTAACTTTGTCGAGATTCTGATTCTTTAAGGCAAAACCCCATACAGGTAATTCCAGAAACCAAACCTTGATCATATAAATTTATATAATTGAAGTCTGTCTAATTTTATTACTGTAAAATTAATGGACCAATGCCATTGATCTATTAATATCCATTGATAAATTAACTGGACGGGTTATTTTAAAATTTTACGTTATGAAAACCAAAAAATAACTTTATATAGCCTTAATACTGTAGTATACAATACGGTCGCGCTTCCATATAATCACACCATCGGGACCTATAAAAGTGTGCTTATGTAGAGAATATGTTTAATAGTAGTTGGTTCAAAAAATAAATGTGCTTATATAGGAGATGCAGTGCGACTGTATTTAATATTATTCAGCTTTTTATATATATAATTTTTTTGAAAATAATGCTGGGTCACTTTTAAAAATTTATGTTATGAAAATCGAATTATTAGCCTTATTAAAAAATGTTAACCAAAATTTATTTGTACGTAAAACAAATATTATAATTCTTAATATAATACAGATATCAAAGTTTTAATTAATAAAGTTTATACGTACATAAGCTTTTAAAACATTTGTACAGTGCGTATATACATATATATAATATATAATTTTCCAAATAAAAAATAACCGCGAAAAAATACGAATAACTGCATTAGATAAAGTATCGTGGCTTAATATTATGGCATATGTATTGCATAACTTTTTTGATTGGCTCCCAAAAAGTCTTCTAAGGTTACACGAGTATAAATGTGCAACCTATATGTAAAATTCTTTCGTTTTCGTTTTCTTTTCTTGACGATTAATCAATAGCTATAATGTTTTCTCCTACCGCTTCTTCAGGCTCCGCAATTAATAATGTTGCTGCTGGGAACTGGCAAGGAGATTTAGTCGTCAAATTATTATTGAGAGATAGGCGGGAGAAGGCATTTAAGGACTTTGTAGAGTCTTGTAAGTCTTTCTCATATTTGCCTTAATTTAACAAATTATGCGCGTAAAATCAAAGAAAGAGATACTCAATCGCGTATTTCCACGAAGGTTCATAACAACAATTTATTTGCTTTATAATATTAATTCCTTTTTATTCGTGGAGATTTCATTTTTGAGTAACCCTTAAGTGTATTATACCATTTAAAATTTGTTATTAATAAACTTTACGCTCTTTGAAACTTATCATTTATATATAGACAATTCTCTTGTCCAGAAACTTGGGAAATTCGCTGACAGAAATGCTGAATTAGAACTTACCGAAAAGTCTGCAACTGAAAAAAACATCACTTTATCTCGAGAGATTGAGATTTTAAAGGAACAAGGGTAAGTTTTCCCAAATAGTATAAATACTTATAAAAAAAATAGATTTCTATTGAAAAACGTGTTATATATCAAATTAATGCTTACTTATGTCAATAATATGCGCGTACAAATTTTAGGAGCCCAATAAATCAGAAAAGAACTGCTGAATTAGAGCAGCAAATACAAAGTCTTAAAGAAGAACGTGCGGATTTATATAAAACTCAAGGAACAAATGCACAACGATTATTAGATGTTAATGATATGTTGCGTAATCACGAAGAGACTGCAAAAAAGAACAAAGAAGAGTAAATGCTTAGTCATTATCATCTTTTACCCATTTTTCTTTTCCTTTTTATGTTAAAACTTATAACTGAAATAGGTTTAATGGTCTTTGTTAAATATTTATTAGAATTCAAAGGCTAACCGAAGCCAATCAAACCTTAACAAATAAAGTTGATCTTCAGGTACAAGTCCTTCGCGAGAAAGACGTCACTATTCAGGTACTATAATGCAAATTCTTTTTATTTTATTCAATATTCTCCATATAATGGATTTTTGATATTACGAATAATGAATTTGGATTACTGTTGACATAAATCCTGTTTCTACTTGACGGATTTATTTTTTAATAAAGTTTCGTATAATGGGAGTTCATGGTTAGTTTAGCGAGTCGGCTCAGTCTTCAATTATATCCATTATATTGAGAATAAATGTATAAAAAATATTTCTATTTATACTTAATTAATTGAATACCTTCATTAAAACTTTATAACATTTGTGTCTGCTTAGCTTTTGCAAGATGAGGTGGCAACATTACAGTTAGAATTAGGTAAAATTGATGAGCGTATGAAAGATTTAGAAAAGGAAAACGGCCAACTTTTGCAACGTTGGCTGAAAAAAATGAATGAGGAAGCTGAGAGAATGAACGAAGCAAATTTATTTTATGAAAAGTAAAAATATTGTCATTTTTGTTTTTTAAAGAAAGATTCGTAAAATTAAATTTGTTTAAATTAATTTTAGTGCGTTGGAAGTTCATGCCAAAGCATTAGAATTTCAAAGTGGTGTTGTTATTGTAGATAAAGAATTCACTCCGAAACCCGTCACCTTCACGGAATCTGGTGCAGGATCAACGAGGTATTATTATTATTATTTCATGCTTCCGCTCAATTTTAATTGTTAATGAACTTTTCTTATTCGAAGGACGAGAAATAGGTCATCTGCAGGTCCCGTAATAATACCTTTGGCCGTGGCTAAAAAATTGGTACGTTCTGGTAAAGAATTTATTTGTTTTATTCAACGTCTGCACATCCATTTTAATTAATTTTTAATTTAAACGATAAGACTCCTCATGATGGCGAAATACATACGATTCAGTCATCTGCTGATGGAAGTATGTTTGCCACTGGTAGTGCAGATAAGACTATCAAGATATTCGATGCTGCGACAGGTTGAATAAAGCTTAAATTCTTTGCTTTAAAAACATGATTTAAAAAGTAATTATTTTATTAAGTCTATTTTAAATTTTCAGGGCAAACAAAGCAATCATTGTCAGGGTCAATACAATCCATCATGCATGTATCATTTAACAGTACTAATGATATGATCGCTGGTGCATCAAATGATAACGCAGCCAGATTATGGCATTTAAAAACGGGCCGGATAAGAGTATGTTAGTTTATTTCATATATATCTTAAATTAAAATTGCATTTTGTATTATGTGTATAAATATGTCGAAATAATTTAACATTTATTCTGAATCAATTATTTTATTATTTTATTTTATTATAATATTTAGCTTACACTAACGGGCCATGTGGGAAAAGTTTACTCATCTCGATTCAATGGTGATTCTTCTAAAGTGGTATGAGAATATTTCACGCCAAATAAAACCGATTAATTTTGATTATTTGATATATCTGACTTTATTTTCATTTATTTCTTTTTCCAATAGATTACTGGAAGTCATGATCGAACCATCAAGGTTTGGGATTTGCAGAAAGGATACTGTATGTCTATTATGATATTTGTTGTCTTATAGTTTTAAACTTTATATTTAAGAAATTTATGTAATGGTATTCATACATTTTTATCTAGGTATTAGAACAATTTTCTCGTTCTCTAGTTGTAATGATGTAGTTCCTTTAGACGAGGAGGGGTATGTATAAATTTACAGACAATAATGTCATTAAATATGAAAGCTCATGCCAACTAACACATCGGATGAATTACAGTACTACTCTCGTAAGCGGTCACTTGGATAATAATTTACGGTTCTGGGATGTACGATCAGGAAAAGATATTAAGGAGTTGACTGGCATCCATTTAGGACAAATTACTTCTGTTTCCATATCTCCCGGTAAGCAAATCTTCCAGCATTGATTTTGAACCTAGTTTCCGAAACTGTTTTAACTAATTATTTCCTTATAGATGGATCCAAAGTATTGACTAATTCTCGTGATAATACGCTGAAAATAGTTGACCTAAGGACATATGATGTCGAACAAACATTGCAGTATGTTTTTAATATTTTAACCAATATATTTTTTTTAGCGACAAACCGTGTATATTAACGATTCTATTATTCAGTGCTGATGGTTATAAAACTGGAGCCAATTGGTCTAAAGCATGTTTTAGGTAAAGTAAAGCGTCATTTAAATAATTATCATATTTTTAACACGTATTAATTTCTCAACATATTATTCAGTCCTGATGGAAGATACGTGGCATCTGGTTCATTAGGTAAAAATACAATATTACTTTTTATTGTGATTTTTGAATCAATTATTAATATGATTTTATTTATATTCAGATGGTACTATATTTTATTGGAACACTCAAAAATCCAAACTAGAGAAAACGGTAAAGGAGCATAAGTATGTATTGAATTGAAATTTTAAAATTATAAAATTTTTAATCTTACTCAAAATAAAATAATTTTTTTTAGTGCTTCTGTATGTGGTGTATCTTGGAGTCCCCAGGGAAGCCAAGTGTTTAGTGCTGATAAGGAGCGTACAGTATGCATTTGGTCTGGTGGATTAAGGTGATTTACTTTTGTGGCATATAATATTATGAAGAAATACCAAGGCCACGATAAAAATTATATAAAAATTTATATAAGGTTCTTCCATTAATTTTTTTTATATGAAGCTATATATCTTGATATCAATCATCCTTATTTATTTTAAATGTTTGTCAATATTTGAGCTACTTTCGAATGTGTAATATAGAATTTCGCTGTTATTTGTATATCGGTATAATAGTAATAACTCTTTAGTATCTATATTTTGAGGTACTAAAGTTCTTAAAAGTTTCTAGCTTTTAGATTATGAAACACGATTCCATAATAAATATTGTTATCCAAATTAACTATATAACTATGTATCATAATTCAATTAGCATTCATACACACTTTACCTTTTATTTTAATACGTAGATAATTCATTAATCGCTTATATCAGATTCAGAGGATTCACATGAACTTCCGAGATACGAAGATTCAGAAGAGATCATCTTGTCATCTGATTCATTACTTTTAGAGCTATCATCACTATCTAGAATTTCGGCACCATTATCACTAGAATCTCTATCATCATTGTAAGGTGTATTATCATGATCATCATCTGGTATCACATCAAGATCACCTTGCGAAGCAATCATCTCTCGTAAAAGCTGAGAAGGAGTTTCCATTTCGTCATTTTCATCGTTATGAAGAAGTGAAGGCGAAAAACTAACATTTCCTATACTAGAATTTTGTTGCGTAAAACTACTCTGTAATGAACTTTGAAAATTTGATGCAGGGTTGTTCATCTTTGTAATTGATACTTTAAATGGATATTTATTCTATTGCATTATTTAAAAAAAATTATGTCCTTATTATATGTTTTAGATAGAGTAACCAAATTTTTCAAAAAAATAGCTTGCCTGCATTAACGTTAAAGTTTCACCATCATGAATTTCTATTTTATTATTTTTACAAATTTTTTCGGATCCTCTCATCATCGAATTTGCCCCAAGCTTTTATTAAAAAATATATATAAGATTTTGAAACGCGGACAACTTTTTTTTAGAAAATAAAATAAAATAAAATAAAATAGAAGCATTAAAAAAGAAAATTGAATTACGGCTAGAGCATAAACTCGATCATCTTTTATTTCGAAACGGACTAAAGGAAAATTTTGATATAACTCAATATATTTAGTTATGAACAATAATAACACAGTAAATAATATAAAAAGTTAAAGCTTGACGACCGAAACATTGAAGCCAAAGTTTAACCTTGTTTCTTGCTTATAGCAGGGTCTTGAATAATCCCGGAAAAGCGACCGAGTTCAAGGTTATTAGGTTCTGTAAAGGTGAAAGTTTTATCTATTGGTGGCAGAAAATGAATGACGACGCGAATCAATGACATCGTTAAACAATATTTCGGAAAATTTTAAGCATAAACTAGAAGGATTGTTTTATTAAAGATCGAAGTGTCTAATGTCTAGGATAATGTATAGTATATTCTAGATTTGATGATATGTATTCAATTTCTATGTGTTATACAATGGCTTTACTACTTCATTTGATTTCTCGTGATAATTAACCAATCAAAATGCATAATTTTAAAAACTTTAATACTATTAGAAAACGAAAAAATCTTCACATAAAGGCTTACAAACTAATAAATAACATAAAAGAATTTTGTTATATACAGTACATATATTTAAAAGTAGATACCAAACTTTACAGTTAACAAACCCAACACACTACAAGAACCGACTAATTAAACATTAAACCAGTTCTTCTATTACAGTCAAACCTCTTTTATATTCCCCCTTTTTTTTTTATGTTTTTTAATTTTTAAATAACTAAATATATAAACATATTAAAAAAGATCTTTTTTTTTAAAATTTATATATGATATAATTAAGGTTTTATTAAGAGGAGATATAATAGAGGAGGTTTGACTGCATTAAAAAGCTTATACCTATTCAAATTAAACAGTTAATAAAAAGTTATTTAAATTTAATAAATAAAATAGTTTTAGACAAAATGTTTTAGTTATTTTTATTTTATAGTATTGTTATAGAATGGGTTAAACGTCTAGGAACGTACAAGATATTTTAACCCCAGTAGATCTGGAAGGTTCTAACAATCAAAACGAGCTACAATACATGATGAACGAATGAATGGGTAACCGGCAATTGATAAACAAAGAATTGATAGACGATAAGCCGGAATGGATTTACAAGTCTTGTAAATCCATACTTCTAATATATTTCTTAATGTTTCTTATTGTTTCTTAATGTTTCTTTATGTTTTTTAATATTTTTTATTGTTTCTTAATGTTTCTTTATGTTTCTTAATGTTTTGTTATGTTTCTTAATACTTCTTATTGTTTCTTATTTATTTATTATTATTTTTTATTATTTTTTATACTGTTGGCCCTCCCCAAACTGATCTTGTCAAAACCGATATCCTGCTATAATCGGTTAAAAATCAATCCACTGGGCCTGCTTCCTAATTCATACCCGATAACCTGCCATTCCTGATATCCAATAGGCCAGATACATAAGTTCCTGATTTGTCAGATCTGATCACATGATCGTTGGCCAATTAAAATCGCGAATTTTAATGTAATAGACTTAAGCGATTACGACGTACGTACATATGTATATACAAAAAAGAGAATAACGCATACGGTTTTGATTATGGCTTTTTCATATTATAGAAGATTCACTAATGTAATTTTATTTTATTTTTTACAGATAACTCTCTTTAAGTGCATTTCATTAGAACTTAGAGGGGCTGTACTTAGAGAGTGTTAAATGTAGAGCACAACTTTATTTATGACAAAATTTCTCAAAGAATCTGTCCTCCCATGTAAGTTATTTTAGTAAAAAAAAAAAAAAAAATTCAAGTTTTGAAGTATTGCTCCAATTTATTTTGGACTTGCTTACCAGCTTTTTCTTTTCGAACTTTCTCATGAATACAGGACTGTAGCTTGCGTAATGATTTCATTGTTTCTCCACCATTATTAATCCTTTCATCAACAATTCTTAAAGCACTACATAAAATGTTCTATTGTTCCTCTCTAGTTAGAGGTGGCACAACAAATTTGTCTTCGATCTGTTCAATTTTTGTAGCAGTGTGAATTAGATCTTCATCGGTAAACTGATAGTGTACTTCTTGTTCTTCTTCAAGGTTTAGCAAGTCTTCAATTGGCATTGGATTATAAATATGCAATATATTTATTTGCTGTTGGAGTTTCTTAACTGCTAGTTCATCATTTGGATCAAAAGGTGAGGTTTCTTCTGTATCATCAATACCTTCATCATCAATACCTTCTTCAGCAATAGAAGGGACGATAGATACACTATTTTCATTGCGAGGGAATACAACTTTCGTGCAAAACCAACACCTTTTAATCGTTTCAGCTGATACTTCACTCCAGACAATCTTAGTCCATTTCATAGCCTATAATTAGTGATACTGTATAAGTTAGTAGAAATTTTTAATTAATTAACCGCGACTTGAGGCTAACTACATTTTTTTTTTTGATTTATCAAAAGGGTTTAAAAATTGCTGTGGCTGATGCAGAAAAAGGTATCTAAAATATAAATCCTATTTAAACCCATTTGTATTTTTTTTTTTATTTATTATTTTTTTTTTTAACAATTTAAATTTTATATTAAATAATAGGTTTAATTTTTGACTTTAGTTATAACAAATTTTAAACCCATTAGTTTTTAACTTTACCTGCAATTGATCGACTTTATATATATCTTTCTCCTCGGCTTCATCACAATCAATTACATATTGAAGCTGAATATGACGATAATGAAGTTTGAATGATGCAATGATACCAGCATTCATGGGTTGAATTTTTGATATCGTATATGGAGGCAACAAGAGCACTTTTACATTAGTAAGGGTAATAGCACTAGTAACATGCGAGGGGGCACCATCAAGGATAAGTAAAACATGATGATTGGATCGTCTTATTTCTTGATCAAATTTTGTATCCATTCTTGAAAAAAACATGGCGGTCATCTATGCTTTTTTATTATTATGGTAATAGAATCCAAGTTCTTTATCTGTTTTTTTTTTAAAACATCTAGGTCTTGTGGCATGTCTAATAATGAAGAGTTCAAGTTTGTGGGTGCCATCTGCGTTGGCCATAAACACAATCGTGATTTTTGTACAATTTTTTTTTGACCCTTCAATCTGTTGAGATGCAATTGTGCGATCAGAGGCTATAGAATAAAATAGACCTGTCTCGTCCATATTGTAGATATCATGAAGAGGATATTGATTAGTGGTATTAATAATATCAGAAAGGTTTAGAATAATAGCAGCAATGTCAGCAGAACCACTCTCGCCATGCAGCTTAAAATGGTGAAAATTATGCCTTTTTTGAAAAGCCTGCAACCATCCATTTGAAAATTCAGGCTGATCATTTTCAGGAATATACATCAGGTCTGATAATCGCTTGCCCTTAGCTTTAATCATGTCATCATTTAAATGCATAGCCCGATGTTCACACTACAGTACCCAGTTCGCCAAAGCAGTGTCTAGTTCAGGGAACATAATGACATGGCATTTTTTAACCCCAAGGTCGCTTGAAGACATTTTACTAAACTTATCTTTCCTTTTTAAAATATCAGAGATTGTACTTTGGCCAGAGGCTTTTACTAGATTGAACTTATTTTTAGCCCACTCAGCAAGTTCCTTCTGAGTAATTGTTAGATTTTTTAGGTAATGATCACATATCATTTTCCTTTGGTCATTACGCAAATTCCCAGCTAAAATAACTTTATTTTTTTTTTTCCCATAATAATGGCAAAATAAATAGGTTGTATAATTTTGTTATTTTAGAATGTTTTTTATTTTTTGAAATACTGAGCTTAATATTATAGAAG